TCTTGTTGTCAGTGATGCTGACCAAATAACAAACAATCAGTGATTTTACTTCAATTAAGTGATTGCTCCTGACATGCTCCCCCCGTTGGAAGAGCCATACTTCGAAGTGAAGTGGTTTCAAGGGGCAGGACAGTTAACTTCCTCGTTGCCCTTTGCCATTTGCTTCGCTCCTGCAGCAACGAAAAGTTGATGGTGCTCCAGTTGCGCCGGAATATTTGCTGCATTTGGCACACATGTCAGACGTCAGGTTCGTCCATTGAGGTAAATGTAGACCAAATGAGAAAGTAAGCAGGCGTCAAAACGTCGATGTCATCTGGGCTCTCTGAAATGGGAAAGTGTGGCTGTGAGTTTAACATTGCAGAAAATTCACAAACTAAGGTGCGCAGCTCATGAAATGTGAGTAACGACTTTTCAACAACGATTTCAAAATGTTATTTCGCGGATTTTACCGCGCCTTCCCACAAGCCTTCAAAGTGTGGGAAACTTAATTTCCATCGAAGTAAGGGAACTCCAAAACTCGCTGCTTTGAGAATCGCTGAGGAACAACTGCCGAGGCTCAATAACCTCATTTTCGGCTCCCACAAATTTGGTTGCGTTGTCCGACCAGATCGTTTGAGTCTTTCCCCCTCAGGCTTATAAATCTTATTAGCGCTGCAATAAAAGATTGAGTTGAAAGATCCTCGACTTCTTCCAAGTGTGTAGCCTCAATGACGAAACAAAGGAAAATGGCTATGTAGCATTTCATAGGAGGCCTGTTCCTGACCTCCGACAATGAATTGAATGGGTTAACAAAAATCAACTTCAGCGATTACAAATGGGCGTTTCGGCTGAACACGATCCTCTAAGAGCAGCACCATGATGTGCTCTACTAGTTTGAGCTTTAATCTGAAGCATTGAATGCACTTGCTGATGACAGCAGAAACGGTTTTTCGTCCTCCAATAGGCCAGAACCTCTGCCGTAGCGGCCAACAAGCTCTGCGCTCCCGCATGATCGAACTTGCGATGGAAATGATTAATAATGGCTGAGGTTACGCGATGAAACTTTGGGAGAATCATTGGGTGCTTGGCATCGAAATCCAGCTGAGAACTTTGAAGGCGTACGCCTTCATCCAGAAATGGGTTCAAAGAAAGAAGTCTGCTCTTTGGCGACAGCTGCATCTTCGAAGTTAGGGCCATATGCTTCTCGGAAAAGTGCACACGCTGAATCCCTTTAATGAGCAGATGAGTACCGCCTTTAATTTCCTCGACTGTAAGAGGTTATGCCTAACCCGATCTTTGCTGCACGTTAGATGGAACCGATATATGTACCCGAAAACTCTCAGCAACTCTTTGCAACTATACGAAATATCCATTTCCTGTGACAGCACCAATGCGCTGCGTCGACGCTCAGGGTCAGGGACGCTCGACTGAAGGTGCGCTATCAGAGCCTCCAGTTCATTCCTTTAGTTCTCTCTTGTATCTGTGAAGTCCTGCTTGAGACAAATATGTTAAAGTCTGACGGAGGATGACGAATCCATGCCAAAACGATTTTAGAATCTGACCAACAATGAAACGTGCACGCTGAAGGAAAATTCAGAGATGAGCTTGGACAATAAAAGGGCTGCGGATAACTTTAGCTTCGGAATGGTGAGGGTCTTCAAGGGCGTAACTCTTGAGCGCCGTAAGCGGCCAAGCTTGCGTCACAAAATCCTTGTACTTCGCAGAATGAGTAATGCTGCAAATAATCCGTGGAAACTTCCAGTAAGCTACTTTTGCGATCTGTGACATGTGCTCCAACAAAGGCGGGTGTAGTGACTGCGGTAAGGACTCTTCCCAGTCAAGCTTATCCTTCCATAGGACCTGCATAAAAATCTTTAGCTTGGTGATGATCGGGGCCATTAATCTAGCGATGGTCGACAGAATGCAGCGCTTGGTTGCGGGCTAACCTGTCCACCCGCTTAAGAAGCTGAGGAGCAAATTATCCGATAGAGTATCCCAAGCCAAACCCAACGCCTTTGTATCATCCGCCGCGCTTTTATTCCATTTAGCGCCGCAGGCTCGTTGGAGCACCATTTGGGAATCGGAAAATGTCCCCTGTCCAAGAGTTCCTTAACTTGTTGACGAATTTCAACAACCTCTTCATAACTGTCTCCTCCTGAGATTAGATCATCAACGTATAGGTTTGTGCGTATGATCTTGGATGCAATTGGAAAATCCGCTTCATCATCACAGGATAGCTGCTGCATTGTACGAATTACCAGAAAAGGCAGCAGGCTTAGTGCCGTACATTTGGTGTCAAGCGAGTATACTTGAAGTTCGAAGAGATACGTAATTCGAAGCTGATTTGTTGGTCTGCTCGCTACGAGATTCGTGCTGCTAGCTCCTAAGATTGTACGTTCGTCCCACCAAATTTATATGACGTGACTGCCCCGTAGATCAGTGGGAAACACAGGGTTCAAATGGTAACAGTGGGTTTTATTCTCGATTTATTAATACAGCGAGTGTGTGACTGGGCTGGCCTCCGTACCTCCTCGCTCTGGTTCTACTGGCTGATGATGTTCCTCGTCCTGGCCTATCGACGCGTTGACTTGACGACTGCTGGCTCCTGTGTCTCGAGATGTTCGTAGTGGCCGCCTCTGATCGCTTGCCGACGCGCTGCCTCGGGGTCGATTGTCGCGCCTTAGACTCGCAGAGAGTTCGGCCTTGCGGGCTTAGACTAGGATAAACCAGCCTTGCTCTCCAGAGAATCGCCTTTCGAGGCAATACCTGTCCCTTGCTCTGTCCCGGACGGTCCCGCTAGGTTGTTGCTCAGATCGCGCTGACAGTCAAGGCTAACGCCAGAAAGCTGCCTAGCAGTTCACTTTGCTTTATGAGCTCCGCGCGGCGATGGTGACGTGGCTGCCGGTGATGTCTGCCGGCGTCGCTACCGATGTCCTCTGCGCTGTTTCCTGTCTTTCGTGTCCTTGGGCAACCGCCGTTCCGGGACTTGCCGAACAGCTGGGCTCCTCCAGGACAACGCCTCTTGAATGCCTCAGCTGTTCGGGAACGTCGCCAGTAATCGCAGGGCTCTCCAGGACAACGACTCTTGAAACCACAAATCGATCCACCGCTCGATCCACTTCACGCCAGGTCCTGCTTGCTCGGGCAAGGTACGCTGGGTCTTAGACAACTTCCCTCGCCGAGCTCACGGTTCCTTGTGGCAGACCTCTTTCGCTTGACTCTGACAGACCCGGCTGGCGATTCGCCAGGGTGTGGTCGTTACAAACCGAGTTGGAAACCAAACGCTTTGACTTCGCCGTGTGATTTGGACTTTCCTGATGTCCCAATCCCGAACCTTTCGACGTGGCGATCTTGCTCGCCTTGTGGCTCCCTTGTAGTTCACTCGGTTGACTGACTGTTAACTTTGGAATTTTGACTGATCTTGATAGTTTGACTCCTCGTGATCGACTGATCCTTGAACCTTTTTGGTTGAATGGGGCGACCTGCGTACAACAAATCAATCAACAACAAGCAGCTTCGTAGTTGTGCTTTCCAATTTTTACACGCAATAATGAGGCAAATAATGTTGATGCGCTGCCGCGTTTTTAGGTGCTAGAGACATGTGGCCAAGGTTGACGTAATTCCTTATAAAGGCTGTGTACTGCGACTTCAGATCTAAATTTCTAGCTAATTTAGCTTCGAGTGTCTGAAACCGAAGGAGCGCACGAATTTCCAAGAACTAGTTGTAACTAGTTTCGGCAGAAAGCAGAACCGAATATTGGCCAGATTCCAGCCGAGTGTACTGTTGTTGAAATAGCTGCTCGCAAAGAGCTTCCTCCTTCGGTATCGACTCTGAGTCCGGCTGGGTTCCTGGACTGAAGAAACTAAAGATGAGCGCGTAGACGCTCCTACCTTTAGACACCCTGAGATGATCCAGCCTAGTCTGGTTTTCTGAAGGACGGGTAAATGGTTTCTTAAACGAATTTGTCCAATACAAAGCAGCTCGAGATAGTCGGCGAACTCGACATTTTCCGGTATTTTCCAATCGGATAATCGGTAATTAACTGGGAAACAGCAGTTGCGACCGACGCGCTGTAATTTGCGTTACTGGATTGTGCAAAAATATAATCCAATTGTTCGATGCTAGCGAGGATATTGAAATGCTTGAGCGATGGCTTTTAAGTTGAAGTTGATGGCCGAAACGAGAGGTGACGAAGTTCATTTGAGAGACCGAATCGAGTATTGCCCGGCATGGTACGAATACGTCAGAGCTGTTTTTGACAGGTAGCAAGCATTACTTGAAGACAAGGCTACAGGTGCTGTTTTGGACAAGGCTGAAGAAACTAAAGACGAGATATGTGGTGGCATTTAAGGTCCAGACTGCGGAGAGGGTGCAATGGGATTCGATTCCATATGAAGAAGAATATGATGCTTCTGGTGGCAGTTCGTGTAAGCTGCATTGCTGTAAGCTGTGTCCCTTTCGTGGGTAATTTAAACAAAGATGAAACCTTTTCGCTTCTTTATACCGCTGAGGGGCAGTCAATCCTAAAAATTGTGAGCATTTTGACATATAATGTTCCTTGTACTCGCAAAGGGTAGCCGCCGTATCTGGTAGCCGGCAGGCCACCATGTATAATTGTCGCTGCAATTTGTTAGTTATTCAACTCCACACAGTATATTTACCAGCGCCGTTCTTAATTTACTTACGGGGACTAATGCAGGGTCAACTATACGCCTTTTTAGTTCGGTCACGACGTTGATGATTGCTGCCTGCGTTCGCTTGATGTGTCCCGCTACTAGTGTTAGATCTGATATTTGTGCGAGATTTCCAGTCCTAATGGCATTTTCAAACTACATTAAGTCATTACTAGTTTTCATGATGTTCCTTAGCGGATGTGTGTTGTACACTTCCTTTGCCATGATCTGGCGGATAGTGTTTTCCATTTTGGGAATCTAGCACCCAAAACGGCCATTAACGAGTGTTTCAAGGTGGCATTAATTTATGACACCTTTTAAAGCGAATAAAAAGCTGAGAGTTTTTGTTTTTATGTAAGTGTTTATTTCTGCAGCGATGCGACTGAGTTCCGAAAACGATAACGAGCGAATGCAAGATGAGCGGAGATCAGCAACTGAATGCGCTTATCTCAGCTTATCCATACGTGCACGCATACAAAATAGATAATTCAGGAATCCTTTGTTTACATTCTTGTTGTCAGTGATGCTGACCAAATAACAAACAATCAGTGATTTTATTTCAATTAAGTGATTGCTCCTGACATGCTCCCCCCGTTGGAAGAGCCATACTTCGAAGTGAAGTGGTTTCAAGGGGCAGGACAGTTAACTTCCTCGTTGCCCTTTGCCATTTGCTTCGCTCCTGCAGCAACGAAAAGTTGATGGTGCTCCATTTGCGCCGGAATATTTGCTGCATTTGGCACACATGTCAGACGTCAGGTTCGTCCATTGAGGTAAATGTAGACCAAATGAGAAAGTAAGCAGGCGTCAAAACGTCGATGTCATCTGGGTTCTCTGAAATGGGAAAGTGTGGCTGTGAGTTTAACATTGCAGAAAATTCACAAACTAAGGTGCGCAGCTCATGAAATGTGAGTAACGACTTTCAACGATTTCAAAATGTTATTTCGCGGATTTTACCGCGCCTTCCCACAAGCCTTCAAAGTGTGGGAAACTTAATTTCCATCGAAGTAAGGGAACTCCAAAACTCGCTGCTTTGAGAATCGCTGAGGAACAACTGCCGAGGCTCAATAACCTCATTTTCGGCTCCCACAAAATTGGTTGCGTTGTCCGACCAGATCGTTTGAGTCTTTCCCCCTCAGGCTTATAAATCTTATTAGCGCTGCAATAAAAGATTGAGTTGAAAGATCCTCGACTTCTTCCAAGTGTGTAGCCTCAATGACGAAACAAAGGAAAATGGCTATGTAGCATTTCATAGGAGGCCTGTTCCTGACCTCCGACAATGAATTGAATGGGTTAACAAAAATCAACTTCAGCGATTACAAATGGGCGTTTCGGCTGAACACGATCCTCTAAGAGCAGCACCATGATGTGCTCTACTAGTTTGAGCTTTAATCTGAAGCATTGAATGCACTTGCTGATGACAGCAGAAACCGTTTTTCGTCCTCCAATAGGCCAGAACCTGGCTGAGGTTACGCGATGAAACTTTGGGAGAATCATTGGGTGCTTGGCATCGAAATCCAGCTGAGAACTTTGAAGGCGTACGCCTTCATCCAGAAATGGGTTCAAAGAAAGAAGTCTGCTCTTTGGCGACAGCTGCATCTTCGAAGTTAGGGCCATATGCTTCTCGGCAAAGTGCACACGCTGAATCCCATTAATGAGCAGATGAGTACCGCCTTTAATTTCCTCGACTGTAAGAGGTTATGCCTAACCCGATCTTTGCTGCGCGTTAGATGGAACCGATATATGTACCCGAAAACTCTCAGCAACTCTTTGCAACTATACGAAATATCCATTTCATGTGACAGCACCAATGCGCTGCGTCGACGCTCAGGGTCAGGGACGCTCGACTGAAGGTGCGCTATCAGAGCCTCCAGTTCATTCCTTCAGTTCTCTCTTGTATCTGTGAAGTCCTGCTTGAGACAAATATGTTAAAGTCTGACGGAGGTTGACGAATCCATGCCAAAACGATTTTAGAATCTGACCAACAATGAAGCGTGCACGCTGAAGGAAAATTCAGAGATGAGCTTGGACAATAAAAGGGCTGCGGATAACTTTAGCTTCGGAATGGTGAGGGTCTTCAAGGGCGTAACTCTTGAGCGCCGTAAGCGGCCAAGCTTGCGTCACAAAATCCTTGTACTTCGCAGAATGAGTAATGCTGCAAAATAATCCGTGGAAACTTCCAGTAAGCTACTTTTGCGATCTGTGACATGTGCTCCAACAAAGTCGGGTGTAGTGACTGCGGTAAGGACTCTTCCCAGTCAAGCTTATCCTTCCATAGGACCTGCATAAAAATCTTTAGCTTGGTGATGATCGGGGCCATTAATCTAGCGATGGTCGACAGAATGCAGCGCTTGGTTGCGGGCTAACCTGTCCACCCGCTTAAGAAGCTGAGGAGCAAATTATCCGATAGAGTATCCCAAGCCAAACCCAACGCCTTTGTATCATCCGCCGCGCTTTTATTCCATTCAGCGCCGCAGGCTCGTTGGAGCACCATTTGGGAATCGGAAAATGTCCCCTGTCCAAGAGTTCCTTAACTTGTTGACGAATTTCAATAACCTCTTTATAACTGTCTCCTCCTGAGATTAAATCATCAACGTATAAGTTTGTGCGTATGATCTTGGCTGCAATTGGAAACTCCGCTTCATCATCATAGGATAGCTGCTGCATGGTACGAATTGCCAAAAAAGGCAGCAGGCTTAGTGCCGTACGTTTGGTGTCAAGCGAGTATAATTGAATTTCGTCTTCGGGCCTATAGCGCCATAAGATGTATTGAAGAAACTGGTGGAGATACGTAATTCGAAGCAGATTTGTTGGTCTGCTCGCTAAGAGATTCGTGCTGCTAGCTCCTAAGATTGTATGTTCGTCCCACCAAATTTATATGACGTGACTGCCCCGTAGATCAGTGGGAAACACAGGGTTCGAATGGTAACAATGGGTTTTATTCTCGTTTTTGTAATACAGCGAGTGTGTGACTGGGCTGGCCTCGGTACCTCCTCGCTCTGGTTCTACTGGCTGATGATGTTCCTCGTCCTGGCCTATCGACGCGTTGACTTGACGACTGCTGGCTCCTGTGTCTCGAGATGTTCGTAGTGGCCGCCTCTGATCGCTTGCCGACGCGCTGCCTCGGGGTCGATTGTCGCGCCTTAGACTCGCAGAGTTCTTCATTGCGGGCTTAGGGAAGCGTCGTCGTTCTCAGACTAGGATAAACCAGCCTTGCTCTCCAGAGAATCGCCTTTCGAGGCAATACCTGTCCCTTGCTCTGTCCCGGACGGTCCCGCTAGGTTGTTGCTCAGATCGCGCTGACAGTCAAGGCTAACGCCAGATAGCTGCCTAGCAGTTCACTTTGCTTTTCGCTCACCGCAGACGAACCTTCCACCCGGCTTCACCCTAATGCTTGACGTCCGCGACGCTCCTGCTCTCTCCAATGAGCTCCGCGCGGCGATGGTGACGTGGCTGCCGGTGATGTCTGCTGGCGTCGCTGCCGATGTCCTCTGCGCTGTTTCCTGTCTTTCGTGTCCTTGGGCAACCGCCGTTCCGGGACTTGCCGAACAGCTGGGCTCCTCCAGGACAACGCCTCTTGAATGCCTCAGCTGTTCGGGAACGTCGCCAGTAATCGCAGGGCTCTCCAGGACAACGACTCTTGAAACCACAAATCGATCCACCGCTCGTTCTTCACGCCAGGTCCTGCTTGCTCGGGCAAGGTACGCTGGGTCTTAGACAACTTCCCTCGCCGAGCTCACGGTTCCTTGTGGCAGACCTCTTTCGCTTGACTCTGACAGACCCGGCTGGCGATTCGCCAGGGTGTGGTCGTGACAAACCGAGTTGGAAACCAAACGCCTTGACTTCGCCGTGTGATTTGGACTTTCCTGATGTCCCAATCCCGAACCTTTCGACGTGGCGATCTTGCTCGCCTAGTGGCTCCCTTGTAGTTCACTCGGTTGACTGACTGTTAACTTTGGAATTTTGACTGATCTTGATAGTTTGACTCCTCGTGATCGACTGATCCTTGAACCTTTTTGGTTGAATGGGGCGACCTGCGTACAACAAATCAATCAACAACAAGCAGCTTCGTAGTTGTGCTTTCCAATTTTTTCACGCAATAATGAGGCAAATAATGTTGCTGCGCTGCCGCGTTTTTAGGTGCTAGAGACATGTGGCCAAGGTTGACGTAATTCCTTATAAAAACTGTGTACTGCGACTTCAGATCTAAATTTCTAGCTAATTTAGCTTCGAGTGTCTGAAACCGAAGGAGCGCACGAATTTCCAAGAACTAGTTGTAACTAGTTTCGGCAGAAAGCAGAACCGAATATTGGCCAGATTCCAGCCGAGTGTACTGTTGTTGAAATAGCTGCTCGCAAAGAGCTTCCTCCTTCGGTATCGACTCTGAGTCCGGCTGGGTTCCTGGACTGAAGAAACTAAAGATGAGCGCGTAGACGCTCCTACCTGTTGACACCCTGAGATGATCCAGCCTAGTCTGGTTTTCTGAAGGACGGGTAAATGGTTTCTTAAACGAATTTGTCCAATACAAAGCAGCTCGAAAAATAACGTTGCTCCAATAAGCAAGTCGATGCGCCGACTTTTGTAAAAGAGATAGTCGGCGAACTCGAGATTTTCCTGTGTCCCTTTCGTGGGTAATTTAAACAAAGATGAAACCTTTTCGCTTCTTTATACCGCTGAGGGGCAGTCAATCCTAAAAATTGTGAGCATTTTGACATATAATGTTCCTTGTACTCGCAAAGGGTAGCCGCCGTATCTGGTAGCCGGCAGGCCACCATGTATAATTGTCGCTGCAATTTGTTAGTTATTCAACTCCACACAGTATATTTACCAGCGCCGTTCTTAATTTACTTACGGGGACTAATGCAGGGTCAACTATACGCCTTTTTAGTTCGGTCACGACGTTGATGATTGCTGCCTGCGTTCGCTTGATGTGTCCCGCTACTAGTGTTAGATCTGATATTTGTGCGAGATTTCCAGTCCTAATGGCATTTTCAAACTACATTAAGTCATTACTAGTTTTCATGATGTTCCTTAGCGGATGTGTGTTGTACACTTCCTTTGCCATGATCTGGCGGATAGTGTCTTCCATTTTGGGAATCTAGCACCCAAAACGGCCATTAACGAGTGTTTCAAGGTGGCATTAATTTATGACACCTTTTAAAGCGAATTTTTAACAAAACGTATGCGATGCCGGAACAGTGCTGAATAAAAAGCTGAGAGTTTTTGTTTTTATGTAAGTGTTTATTTCTGCAGCGATGCGACTGAGTTCCGAAAACGATAACGAGCGAATGCAAGATGAGCGGAGATCAGCGACTGAATGCGCTTATCTCAGCTTATCCATACGTGCACGCATACAAAATAGATAATTCAGGAATCCTTTGTTTACATTCTTGTTGTCAGTGATGCTGACCAAATAACAAACAATCAGTGATTTTATTTCAATTAAGTGATTGCTCCTGACATGCTCCCCCCGTTGGAAGAGCCATACTTCGAAGTGAAGTGGTTTCAAGGGGCAGGACAGTTAACTTCCTCGTTGCCCTTTGCCATTTGCTTCGCTCCTGCAGCAACGAAAAGTTGATGGTGCTCCATTTGCGCCGGAATATTTGCTGCATTTGGCACACATGTCAGACGTCAGGTTCGTCCATTGAGGTAAATGTAGACCAAATGAGAAAGTAAGCAGGCGTCAAAACGTCGATGTCATCTGGGTTCTCTGAAATGGGAAAGTGTGGCTGTGAGTTTAACATTGCAGAAAATTCACAAACTAAGGTGCGCAGCTCATGAAATGTGAGTAACGACTTTCAACGATTTCAAAATGTTATTTCGCGGATTTTACCGCGCCTTCCCACAAGCCTTCAAAGTGTGGGAAACTTAATTTCCATCGAAGTAAGGGAACTCCAAAACTCGCTGCTTTGAGAATCGCTGAGGAACAACTGCCGAGGCTCAATAACCTCATTTTCGGCTCCCACAAAATTGGTTGCGTTGTCCGACCAGATCGTTTGAGTCTTTCCCCCTCAGGCTTATAAATCTTATTAGCGCTGCAATAAAAGATTGAGTTGAAAGATCCTCGACTTCTTCCAAGTGTGTAGCCTCAATGACGAAACAAAGGAAAATGGCTATGTAGCATTTCATAGGAGGCCTGTTCCTGACCTCCGACAATGAATTGAATGGGTTAACAAAAATCAACTTCAGCGATTACAAATGGGCGTTTCGGCTGAACACGATCCTCTAAGAGCAGCACCATGATGTGCTCTACTAGTTTGAGCTTTAATCTGAAGCATTGAATGCACTTGCTGATGACAGCAGAAACCGTTTTTCGTCCTCCAATAGGCCAGAACCTGGCTGAGGTTACGCGATGAAACTTTGGGAGAATCATTGGGTGCTTGGCATCGAAATCCAGCTGAGAACTTTGAAGGCGTACGCCTTCATCCAGAAATGGGTTCAAAGAAAGAAGTCTGCTCTTTGGCGACAGCTGCATCTTCGAAGTTAGGGCCATATGCTTCTCGGCAAAGTGCACACGCTGAACCCCTTTAATGAGCAGATGAGTACCGCCTTTAATTTCCTCGACTGTAAGAGGTTATGCCTAACCCGATCTTTGCTGCGCGTTAGATGGAACCGATATATGTACCCGAAAACTCTCAGCAACTCTTTGCAACTATACGAAATATCCATTTCATGTGACAGCACCAATGCGCTGCGTCGACGCTCAGGGTCAGGGACGCTCGACTGAAGGTGCGCTATCAGAGCCTCCAGTTCATTCCTTCAGTTCTCTCTTGTATCTGTGAAGTCCTGCTTGAGACAAATATGTTAAAGTCTGACGGAGGTTGACGAATCCATGCCAAAACGATTTTAGAATCTGACCAACAATGAAGCGTGCACGCTGAAGGAAAATTCAGAGATGAGCTTGGACAATAAAAGGGCTGCGGATAACTTTAGCTTCGGAATGGTGAGGGTCTTCAAGGGCGTAACTCTTGAGCGCCGTAAGCGGCCAAGCTTGCGTCACAAAATCCTTGTACTTCGCAGAATGAGTAATGCTGCAAAATAATCCGTGGAAACTTCCAGTAAGCTACTTTTGCGATCTGTGACATGTGCTCCAACAAAGTCGGGTGTAGTGACTGCGGTAAGGACTCTTCCCAGTCAAGCTTATCCTTCCATAGGACCTGCATAAAAATCTTTAGCTTGGTGATGATCGGGGCCATTAATCTAGCGATGGTCGACAGAATGCAGCGCTTGGTTGCGGGCTAACCTGTCCACCCCCTTAAGAAGCTGAGGAGCAAATTATCCGATAGAGTATCCCAAGCCAAACCCAACGCCTTTGTATCATCCGCCGCGCTTTTATTCCATTCAGCGCCGCAGGCTCTTTGGAGCACCATTTGGGAATCGGAAAATGTCCCCTGTCCAAGAGTTCCTTAACTTGTTGACGAATTTCAACAACCTCTTTATAACTGTCTCCTCCTGAGATTAAATCATCAACGTATAAGTTTGTGCGTATGATCTTGGCTGCAATTGGAAACTCCGCTTCATCATCATAGGATAGCTGCTGCATGGTACGAATTGCCAAAAAAGGCAGCAGGCTTAGTGCCGTACGTTTGGTGTCAAGCGAGTATAATTGAATTTCGTCTTCGGGCCTATAGCGCCATAAGATGTATTGAAGAAACTGGTGGAGATACGTAATTCGAAGCAGATTTGTTGGTCTGCTCGCTAAGAGATTCGTGCTGCTAGCTCCTAAGATTGTATGTTCGTCCCACCAAATTTATATGACGTGACTGCCCCGTAGATCAGTGGGAAACACAGGGTTCGAATGGTAACAATGGGTTTTATTCTCGTTTTTGTAATACAGCGAGTGTGTGACTGGGCTGGCCTCGGTACCTCCTCGCTCTGGTTCTACTGGCTGATGATGTTCCTCGTCCTGGCCTATCGACGCGTTGACTTGACGACTGCTGGCTCCTGTGTCTCGAGATGTTCGTAGTGGCCGCCTCTGATCGCTTGCCGACGCGCTGCCTCGGGGTCGATTGTCGCGCCTTAGACTCGCAGAGTTCTTCATTGCGGGCTTAGGGAAGCGTCGTCGTTCTCAGACTAGGATAAACCAGCCTTGCTCTCCAGAGAATCGCCTTTCGAGGCAATACCTGTCCCTTGCTCTGTCCCGGACGGTCCCGCTAGGTTGTTGCTCAGATCGCGCTGACAGTCAAGGCTAACGCCAGATAGCTGCCTAGCAGTTCACTTTGCTTTTCGCTCACCGCAGACGAACCTTCCACCCGGCTTCACCCTAATGCTTGACGTCCGCGACGCTCCTGCTCTCTCCAATGAGCTCCGCGCGGCGATGGTGACGTGGCTGCCGGTGATGTCTGCTGGCGTCGCTGCCGATGTCCTCTGCGCTGTTTCCTGTCTTTCGTGTCCTTGGGCAACCGCCGTTCCGGGACTTGCCGAACAGCTGGGCTCCTCCAGGACAACGCCTCTTGAATGCCTCAGCTGTTCGGGAACGTCGCCAGTAATCGCAGGGCTCTCCAGGACAACGACTCTTGAAACCACAAATCGATCCACCGCTCGTTCTTCACGCCAGGTCCTGCTTGCTCGGGCAAGGTACGCTGGGTCTTAGACAACTTCCCTCGCCGAGCTCACGGTTCCTTGTGGCAGACCTCTTTCGCTTGACTCTGACAGACCCGGCTGGCGATTCGCCAGGGTGTGGTCGTGACAAACCGAGTTGGAAACCAAACGCCTTGACTTCGCCGTGTGATTTGGACTTTCCTGATGTCCCAATCCCGAACCTTTCGACGTGGCGATCTGGTAGCCGGCAGGCCACCATGTATAATTGTCGCTGCAATTTGTTAGTTATTCAACTCCACACAGTATATTTACCAGCGCCGTTCTTAATTTACTTACGGGGACTAATGCAGGGTCAACTATACGCCTTTTTAGTTCGGTCACGACGTTGATGATTGCTGCCTGCGTTCGCTTGATGTGTCCCGCTACTAGTGTTAGATCTGATATTTGTGCGAGATTTCCAGTCCTAATGGCATTTTCAAACTACATTAAGTCATTACTAGTTTTCATGATGTTCCTTAGCGGATGTGTGTTGTACACTTCCTTTGCCATGATCTGGCGGATAGTGTCTTCCATTTTGGGAATCTAGCACCCAAAACGGCCATTAACGAGTGTTTCAAGGTGGCATTAATTTATGACACCTTTTAAAGCGAATTTTTAACAAAACGTATGCGATGCCGGAACAGTGCTGAATAAAAAGCTGAGAGTTTTTGTTTTTATGTAAGTGTTTATTTCTGCAGCGATGCGACTGAGTTCCGAAAACGATAACGAGCGAATGCAAGATGAGCGGAGATCAGCGACTGAATGCGCTTATCTCAGCTTATCCATACGTGCACGCATACAAAATAGATAATTCAGGAATCCTTTGTTTACATTCTTGTTGTCAGTGATGCTGACCAAATAACAAGCAATCAGTGATTTTATTTCAATTAAGTGATTGCTCCTGACATGCTCCCCCCGTTGGAAGAGCCATACTTCGAAGTGAAGTGGTTTCAAGGGGCAGGACAGTTAACTTCCTCGTTGCCCTTTGCCATTTGCTTCGCTCCTGCAGCAACGAAAAGTTGATGGTGCTCCATTTGCGCCGGAATATTTGCTGCATTTGGCACACATGTCAGACGTCAGGTTCGTCCATTGAGGTAAATGTAGACCAAATGAGAAAGTAAGCAGGCGTCAAAACGTCGATGTCATCTGGGTTCTCTGAAATGGGAAAGTGTGGCTGTGAGTTTAACATTGCAGAAAATTCACAAACTAAGGTGCGCAGCTCATGAAATGTGAGTAACGACTTTCAACGATTTCAAAATGTTATTTCGCGGATTTTACCGCGCCTTCCCACAAGCCTTCAAAGTGTGGGAAACTTAATTTCCATCGAAGTAAGGGAACTCCAAAACTCGCTGCTTTGAGAATCGCTGAGGAACAACTGCCGAGGCTCAATAACCTCATTTTCGGCTCCCACAAAATTGGTTGCGTTGTCCGACCAGATCGTTTGAGTCTTTCCCCCTCAGGCTTATAAATCTTATTAGCGCTGCAATAAAAGATTGAGTTGAAAGATCCTCGACTTCTTCCAAGTGTGTAGCCTCAATGACGAAACAAAGGAAAATGGCTATGTAGCATTTCATAGGAGGCCTGTTCCTGACCTCCGACAATGAATTGAATGGGTTAACAAAAATCAACTTCAGCGATTACAAATGGGCGTTTCGGCTGAACACGATCCTCTAAGAGCAGCACCATGATGTGCTCTACTAGTTTGAGCTTTAATCTGAAGCATTGAATGCACTTGCTGATGACAGCAGAAACCGTTTTTCGTCCTCCAATAGGCCAGAACCTGGCTGAGGTTACGCGATGAAACTTTGGGAGAATCATTGGGTGCTTGGCATCGAAATCCAGCTGAGAACTTTGAAGGCGTACGCCTTCATCCAGAAATGGGTTCAAAGAAAGAAGTCTGCTCTTTGGCGACAGCTGCATCTTCGAAGTTAGGGCCATATGCTTCTCGGCAAAGTGCACACGCTGAATCCCTTTAATGAGCAGATGAGTACCGCCTTTAATTTCCTCGACTGTAAGAGGTTATGCCTAACCCGATCTTTGCTGCGCGTTAGATGGAACCGATATATGTACCCGAAAACTCTCAGCAACTCTTTGCAACTATACGAAATATCCATTTCATGTGACAGCACCAATGCGCTGCGTCGACGCTCAGGGTCAGGGACGCTCGACTGAAGGTGCGCTATCAGAGCCTCCAGTTCATTCCTTCAGTTCTCTCTTGTATCTGTGAAGTCCTGCTTGAGACAAATATGTTAAAGTCTGACGGAGGTTGACGAATCCATGCCAAAACGATTTTAGAATCTGACCAACAATGAAGCGTGCACGCTGAAGGAAAATTCAGAGATGAGCTTGGACAATAAAAGGGCTGCGGATAACTTTAGCTTCGGAATGGTGAGGGTCTTCAAGGGCGTAACTCTTGAGCGCCGTAAGCGGCCAAGCTTGCGTCACAAAATCCTTGTACTTCGCAGAATGAGTAATGCTGCAAAATAATCCGTGGAAACTTCCAGTAAGCTACTTTTGCGATCTGTGACATGTGCTCCAACAAAGTCGGGTGTAGTGACTGCGGTAAGGACTCTTCCCAGTCAAGCTTATCCTTCCATAGGACCTGCATAAAAATCTTTAGCTTGGTGATGATCGGGGCCATTAATCTAGCGATGGTCGACAGAATGCAGCGCTTGGTTGCGGGCTAACCTGTCCACCCGCTTAAGAAGCTGAGGAGCAAATTATCCGATAGAGTATCCCAAGCCAAACCCAACGCCTTTGTATCATCCGCCGCGCTTTTATTCCATTCAGCGCCGCAGGCTCTTTGGAGCACCATTTGGGAATCGGAAAATGTCCCCTGTCCAAGAGTTCCTTAACTTGTTGACGAATTTCAACAACCTCTTTATAACTGTCTCCTCCTGAGATTAAATCATCAACGTATAAGTTTGTGCGTATGATCTTGGCTGCAATTGGAAACTCCGCTTCATCATCATAGGATAGCTGCTGCATGGTACGAATTGCCAAAAAAGGCAGCAGGCTTAGTGCCGTACGTTTGGTGTCAAGCGAGTATAATTGAATTTCGTCTTCGGGCCTATAGCGCCATAAGATGTATTGAAGAAACTGGTGGAGATACGTAATTCGAAGCAGATTTGTTGGTCTGCTCGCTAAGAGATTCGTGCTGCTAGCTCCTAAGATTGTATGTTCGTCCCACCAAATTTATATGACGTGACTGCCCCGTAGATCAGTGGGAAACACAGGGTTCGAATGGTAACAATGGGTTTTATTCTCGTTTTTGTAATACAGCGAGTGTGTGACTGGGCTGGCCTCGGTACCTCCTCGCTCTGGTTCTACTGGCTGATGATGTTCCTCGTCCTGGCCTATCGACGCGTTGACTTGACGACTGCTGGCTCCTGTGTCTCGAGATGTTCGTAGTGGCCGCCTCTGATCGCTTGCCGACGCGCTGCCTCGGGGTCGATTGTCGCGCCTTAGACTCGCAGAGTTCTTCATTGCGGGCTTAGGGAAGCGTCGTCGTTCTCAGACTAGGATAAACCAGCCTTGCTCTCCAGAGAATCGCCTTTCGAGGCAATACCTGTCCCTTGCTCTGTCCCGGACGGTCCCGCTAGGTTGTTGCTCAGATCGCGCTGACAGTCAAGGCTAACGCCAGATAGCTGCCTAGCAGTTCACTTTGCTTTTCGCTCACCGCAGACGAACCTTCCACCCGGCTTCACCCTAATGCTTGACGTCCGCGACGCTCCTGCTCTCTCCAATGAGCTCCGCGCGGCGATGGTGACGTGGCTGCCGGTGATGTCTGCTGGCGTCGCTGCCGATGTCCTCTGCGCTGTTTCCTGTCTTTCGTGTCCTTGGGCAACCGCCGTTCCGGGACTTGCCGAACAGCTGGGCTCCTCCAGGACAACGCCTCTTGAATGCCTCAGCTGTTCGGGAACGTCGCCAGTAATCGCAGGGCTCTCCAGGACAACGACTCTTGAAACCACAAATCGATCCACCGCTTGTTCTTCACGCCAGGTCCTGCTTGCTCGGGCAAGGTACGCTGGGTCTTAGACAACTTCCCTCGCCGAGCTCACGGTTCCTTGTGGCAGACCTCTTTCGCTTGACTCTGACAGACCCGGCTGGCGATTCGCCAGGGTGTGGTCGTGACAAACCGAGTTGGAAACCAAACGCCTTGACTTCGCCGTGTGATTTGGACTTTCCTGATGTCCCAATCCCGAACCTTTCGACGTGGCGATCTGGTAGCCGGCAGGCCACCATGTATAATTGTCGCTGCAATTTGTTAGTTATTCAACTCCACACAGTATATTTACCAGCGCCGTTCTTAATTTACTTACGGGGACTAATGCAGGGTCAACTATACGCCTTTTTAGTTCGGTCACGACGTTGATGATTGCTGCCTGCGTTCGCTTGATGTGTCCCGCTACTAGTGTTAGATCTGATATTTGTGCGAGATTTCCAGTCCTAATGGCATTTTCAAACTACATTAAGTCATTACTAGTTTTCATGATGTTCCTTAGCGGATGTGTGTTGTACACTTCCTTTGCCATGAGCTGGCGGATAGTGTCTTCCATTTTGGGAATCTAGCACCCAAAACGGCCATTAACGAGTGTTTCAAGGTGGCATTAATTTATGACACCTTTTAAAGCGAATTTTTAACAAAACGTATGCGATGCCGGAACAGTGCTGAATAAAAAGCTGAGAGTTTTTGTTTTTATGTAAGTGTTTATTTCTGCAGCGATGCGACTGAGTTCCGAAAACGATAACGAGCGAATGCAAGATGAGCGGAGATCAGCGACTGAATGCGCTTATCTCAGCTTATCCATACGTGCACGCATACAAAATAGATAATTCAGGAATCCTTTGTTTACATTCTTGTTGTCAGTGATGCTGACCAAATAACAAGCAATCAGTGATTTTATTTCAATTAAGTGATTGCTCCTGACATGCTCCCCCCGTTGGAAGAGCCATACTTCGAAGTGAAGTGGTTTCAAGGGGCAGGACAGTTAACTTCCTCGTTGCCCTTTGCCATTTGCTTCGCTCCTGCAGCAACGAAAAGTTGATGGTGCTCCATTTGCGCCGGAATATTTGCTGCATTTGGCACACATGTCAGACGTCAGGTTCGTCCATTGAGGTAAATGTAGACCAAATGAGAAAGTAAGCAGGCGTCAAAACGTCGATGTCATCTGGGTTCTCTGAAATGGGAAAGTGTGGCTGTGAGTTTAACATTGCAGAAAATTCACAAACTAAGGTGCGCAGCTCATGAAATGTGAGTAACGACTTTCAACGATTTCAAAATGTTATTTCGCGGATTTTACCGCGCCTTCCCACAAGCCTTCAAAGTGTGGGAAACTTAATTTCCATCGAAGTAAGGGAACTCCAAAACTCGCTGCTTTGAGAATCGCTGAGGAACAACTGCCGAGGCTCAATAACCTCATTTTCGGCTCCCACAAAATTGGTTGCGTTGTCCGACCAGATCGTTTGAGTCTTTCCCCCTCAGGCTTATAAATCTTATTAGCGCTGCAATAAAAGATTGAGTTGAAAGATCCTCGACTTCTTCCAAGTGTGTAGCCTCAATGACGAAACAAAGGAAAATGGCTATGTAGCATTTCATAGGAGGCCTGTTCCTGACCTCCGACAATGAATTGAATGGGTTAACAAAAATCAACTTCAGCGATTACAAATGGGCGTTTCGGCTGAACACGATCCTCTAAGAGCAGCACCATGATGTGCTCTACTAGTTTGAGCTTTAATCTGAAGCATTGAATGCACTTGCTGATGACAGCAGAAACCGTTTTTCGTCCTCCAATAGGCCAGAACCTGGCTGAGGTTACGCGATGAAACTTTGGGAGAATCATTGGGTGCTTGGCATCGAAATCCAGCTGAGAACTTTGAAGGCGTACGCCTTCATCCAGAAATGGGTTCAAAGAAAGAAGTCTGCTCTTTGGCGACAGCTGCATCTTCGAAGTTAGGGCCATATGCTTCTCGGCAAAGTGCACACGCTGAATCCCTTTAATGAGCAGATGAGTACCGCCTTTAATTTCCTCGACTGTAAGAGGTTATGCCTAACCCGATCTTTGCTGCGCGTTAGATGGAACCGATATATGTACCCGAAAACTCTCAGCAACTCTTTGCAACTATACGAAATATCCATTTCATGTGACAGCACCAATGCGCTGCGTCGACGCTCAGGGTCAGGGACGCTCGACTGAGGGTGCGCTATCAGAGCCTCCAGTTCATTCCTTCAGTTCTCTCTTGTATCTGTGAAGTCCTGCTTGAGACAAATATGTTAAAGTCTGACGGAGGTTGACGAATCCATGCCAAAACGATTTTAGAATCTGACCAACAATGAAGCGTGCACGCTGAAGGAAAATTCAGAGATGAGCTTGGACAATAAAAGGGCTGCGGATAACTTTAGCTTCGGAATGGTGAGGGTCTTCAAGGGCGTAACTCTTGAGCGCCGTAAGCGGCCAAGCTTGCGTCACAAAATCCTTGTACTTCGCAGAATGAGTAATGCTGCAAAATAATCCGTGGAAACTTCCAGTAAGCTACTTTTGCGATCTGTGACATGTGCTCCAACAAAGTCGGGTGTAGTGACTGCGGTAAGGACTCTTCCCAGTCAAGCTTATCCTTCCATAGGACCTGCATAAAAATCTTTAGCTTGGTGATGATCGGGGCCATTAATCTAGCGATGGTCGACAGAATGCAGCGCTTGGTTGCGGGCTAACCTGTCCACCCGCTTAAGAAGCTGAGGAGCAAATTATCCGATAGAGTATCCCAAGCCAAACCCAACGCCTTTGTATCATCCGCCGCGCTTTTATTCCATTCAGCGCCGCAGGCTCTTTGGAGCACCATTTGGGAATCGGAAAATGTCCCCTGTCCAAGAGTTCCTTAACTTGTTGACGAATTTCAACAACCTCTTTATAACTGTCTCCTCCTGAGATTAAATCATCAACGTATAAGTTTGTGCGTATGATCTTGGCTGCAATTGGAAACTCCGCTTCATCATCATAGGATAGCTGCTGCATGGTACGAATTGCCAAAAAAGGCAGCAGGCTTAGTGCCGTACGTTTGGTGTCAAGCGAGTATAATTGAATTTCGTCTTCGGGCCTATAGCGCCATAAGATGTATTGAAGAAACTGGTGGAGATACGTAATTCGAAGCAGATTTGTTGGTCTGCTCGCTAAGAGATTCGTGCTGCTAGCTCCTAAGATTGTATGTTCGTCCCACCAAATTTATATGACGTGACTGCCCCGTAGATCAGTGGGAAACACAGGGTTCGAATGGTAACAATGGGTTTTATTCTCGTTTTTGTAATACAGCGAGTGTGTGACTGGGCTGGCCTCGGTACCTCCTCGCTCTGGTTCTACTGGCTGATGATGTTCCTCGTCCTGGCCTATCGACGCGTTGACTTGACGACTGCTGGCTCCTGTGTCTCGAGATGTTCGTAGTGGCCGCCTCTGATCGCTTGCCGACGCGCTGCCTCGGGGTCGATTGTCGCGCCTTAGACTCGCAGAGTTCTTCATTGCGGGCTTAGGGAAGCGTCGTCGTTCTCAGACTAGGATAAACCAGCCTTGCTCTCCAGAGAATCGCCTTTCGAGGCAATACCTGTCCCTTGCTCTGTCCCGGACGGTCCCGCTAGGTTGTTGCTCAGATCGCGCTGACAGTCAAGGCTAACGCCAGATAGCTGCCTAGCAGTTCACTTTGCTTTTCGCTCACCGCAGACGAACCTTCCACCCGGCTTCACCCTAATGCTTGACGTCCGCGACGCTCCTGCTCTCTCCAATGAGCTCCGCGCGGCGATGGTGACGTGGCTGCCGGTGATGTCTGCTGGCGTCGCTGCCGATGTCCTCTGCGCTGTTTCCTGTCTTTCGTGTCCTTGGGCAACCGCCGTTCCGGGACTTGCCGAACAGCTGGGCTCCTCCAGGACAACGCCTCTTGAATGCCTCAGCTGTTCGGGAACGTCGCCAGTAATCGCAGGGCTCTCCAGGACAACGACTCTTGAAACCACAAATCGATCCACCGCTCGTTCTTCACGCCAGGTCCTGCTTGCTCGGGCAAGGTACGCTGGGTCTTAGACAACTTCCCTCGCCGAGCTCACGGTTCCTTGTGGCAGACCTCTTTCGCTTGACTCTGACAGACCCGGCTGGCGATTCGCCAGGGTGTGGTCGTGACAAACCGAGTTGGAAACCAAACGCCTTGACTTCGCCGTGTGATTTGGACTTTCCTGATGTCCCAATCCCGAACCTTTCGACGTGGCGATCTTGCTCGCCTTGTGGCTCCCTTGTAGTTCACTCGGTTGACTGACTGTTAACTTTGGAATTTTGACTGATCTTGACCTCGTGATCGACTGATCCTTGAACCTTTTTGGTTGAATGGGGCGACCTGCGTACAACAAATCAATCAGAACATCCCGAAGTGGACTTCGCTGAACCATCGAAAACAACTAGCAGCTTCGTAGTTGTGCTTTCCAATTTTTTCACGCAATAATGAGGCAAATAATATTGATGCGCTGCCGCGTTTTTAGGTGCTAGAGACATGTGGCCAAGGTTGACGTAATTCCTTATAAAAACTGTGTACTGCGACTTCAGATCTAAATTTCTAGCTAATTTAGCTTCGAGTGTCTGAAACCGAAGGAGCGCACGAATTTCCAAGAACTAGTTGTAACTAGTTTCGGCAGAAAGCAGAACCGAATATTGGCCAGATTCCAGCCGAGTGTACTGTTGTTGAAATAGCTGCTCGCAAAGAGCTTCCTCCTTCGGTATCGACTCTGAGTCCGGCTGGGTTCCTGGACTGAAGAAACTAAAGATGAGCGCGTAGACGCTCCTACCTTTAGACACCCTGAGATGATCCAGCCTAGTCTGGTTTTCTGAAGGACGGGTAAATGGTTTCTTAAACGAATTTGTCCAATACAAAGCAGCTCGAAAAATAACGTTGCTCCAATAAGCAAGTCGATGCGCCGACTTTTGTAAAAGAGATAGTCGGCGAACTCGAGATTTTCCTGTGTCCCTTTCGTGGGTAATTTAAACAAAGATGAAACCTTTTCGCTTCTTTATACCGCTGAGGGGCAGTCAATCCTAAAAATTGTGAGCATTTTGACATATAATGTTCCTTGTACTCGCAAAGGGTAGCCGCCGTATCTGGTAGCCGGCAGGCCACCATGTATAATTGTCGCTGCAATTTGTTAGTTATTCAACTCCACACAGTATATTTACCAGCGCCGTTCTTAATTTACTTACGGGGACTAATGCAGGGTCAACTATACGCCTTTTTAGTTCGGTCACGACGTTGATGATTGCTGCCTGCGTTCGCTTGATGTGTCCCGCTACTAGTGTTAGATCTGATATTTGTGCGAGATTTCCAGTCCTAATGGCATTTTCAAACTACATTTAGTCATTACTAGTTTTCATGATGTTCCTTAGCGGATGTGTGTTGTACACTTCCTTTGCCATGATCTGGCGGATAGTGTCTTCCATTTTGGGAATCTAGCACCCAAAACGGCCATTAACGAGTGTTTCAAGGTGGCATTAATTTATGACACCTTTTAAAGCGAATTTTTAACAAAACGTATGCGATGCCGGAACAGTGCTGAATAAAAAGCTGAGAGTTTTTGTTTTTATGTAAGTGTTTATTTCTGCAGCGATGCGACTGAGTTCCGAAAACGATAACGAGCGAATGCAAGATGAGCGGAGATCAGCGACTGAATGCGCTTATCTCAGCTTATCCATACGTGCACGCATACAAAATAGATAATTCAGGAATCCTTTGTTTACATTCTTGTTGTCAGTGATGCTGACCAAATAACAAACAATCAGTGATTTTATTTCAATTAAGTGATTGCTCCTGACATGCTCCCCCCGTTGGAAGAGCCATACTTCGAAGTGAAGTGGTTTCAAGGGGCAGGACAGTTAACTTCCTCGTTGCCCTTTGCCATTTGCTTCGCTCCTGCAGCAACGAAAAGTTGATGGTGCTCCACTTGCGCCGGAATATTTGCTGCATTTGGCACACATGTCAGACGTCAGGTTCGTCCATTGAGGTAAATGTAGACCAAATGAGAAAGTAAGCAGGCGTCAAAACGTCGATGTCATCTGGGTTCTCTGAAATGGGAAAGTGTGGCTGTGAGTTTAACATTGCAGAAAATTCACAAACTAAGGTGCGCAGCTCATGAAATGTGAGTAACGACTTTCAACGATTTCAAAATGTTATTTCGCGGATTTTACGTGTGTGGGAAACTTAATTTCCATCGAAGTAAGGGAACTCCAAAACTCGCTGCTTTGAGAATCGCTGAGGAACAACTGCCGAGGCTCAATAA